CTGCTGCTGCTGCTGCTGCTGCTGCTTTACTCGCACGTAGGTCTCCACACTCGCCGTCGTCATCCCAAACACGTCGTGGGGAATGCCCCCGTTCTCCGGGCGCTTGCCGGTGGTGAAGGCCTTCCAAAACCAGGCCCCCCTTTCGCGGGCCCTTTCCGCGGCCCAGTCGGGGAGGCCCCCCGTTGCTGCAGCGCAGCAGCAGCGCCGCAGCAGCAGCAAACACCCGCAGCAACGCATGCAGCACGTCCGCTGCATGCAGCAGCGCCAAAAACCATGAAAATCCCATATATACTCCCCGAATTACCAAGTTTTCAAACACCTCAAAACCCTTCTAAACCCCTTCACGATTCCTAAACCCTCCTAAACCCTTTTAAACCCTTTTAAAGCCTTTTAAACCCTCTTAAACCCTTTTAAACCGTCCTGAGCCCTATAAACCCTCCTAAACCCTTTCAAACCCTTTCAAACCCTCCTAAACCCTTTTGGGTTCTCTTGAACTCTTCCAACAATTTCGAAACGCTCTTAAACCCTTCTTGATCCTTTTCAACCCCCTTAAGCCTCTTTAAACCCTCACAAACCCTTTTTAAACCCTTTTAAACCCTCCTAAGCCCTCTAAACCCTTCTAAACCCTTCCAAACCCTCGAAAATCCCCACTTAACTTCGAATTGGAATCAAAATTGTGAAATGATTAAAACACTTCGAAAGAAATCACCTGTGTTTTCGTCCGGCCCCAAAAAGCAAACCTCCGGAATGCCCAGCCGATCCACCACGTCATGGTGCGGCAGCAGCAAGTCCAACATGCTGCACAAACCCCAAACCCTAAACCCTAAACCCTAAACCCTAAACCCTAAACCTACACCGTATGCGTCCGAAGCCCTGGGACGGCAGCAAACCCTAGCCAAAAGAACCCCGGAAACGCTCAGGCCGTGGAGCGAGCGGCACGCCCGTAGCCGTGGGGGCGGCGCAAACCCTAAAAAAGGGTTTGGGGTTTACCTGTCGACGAAGGCCTTGAAGGCGACGGGGGAGAGCGCCTGGGCCTCCTCCTCGGAGTTCTGCGGGTTGAGCAGAATGACCCCTTTGCTGCCGCCCTCGGAAAGGTCTTTGTTTTTGAAGTGTTGAGTGAAAGCAAGTCTGAAAACTTCATCAACAAGCGCCCTCGCGTTCTGTACGTACACCCCAAACCCCACACTGCGCACCAGCCGCAAACCCCCGCGCGCCACTTCGCTGCAGCGCACGTGCAGCCCCAGTGCTGCAGCAGCAAGATGGAAAACCACAGAAAAGGGTTTGTTTTCGAAGTCCTCTTTTGGCAAAAACTCTCCGCAAAGTCGAAACCCGAAGCCGCACTTCGCAGGCACGAAGAAGTTCGTCTTTAATGTCGAAAAGTTGAATTCCAAAAACTTCATAAAAACCGGAACTGCTTCGAACGCGTCCAGCTGCGCCACCAGGCCCCGCAGCGGCGACGCTGCTGCTGCTGCTGCTGCTGCTGCTGCTGCTGCTGCTGCGCTCGACGGCGCCGCGCACCGACGCGCCACGCGCGGGTTGTGCAGACTCTGCACCACCAAACAACCCAGCAGCGCAAGCTGCAGCAGCAAGTGCAGCAGCAAGTGCAGCAGCAAGTGCAGCAGCAAGCGCAGCACCAAGTGCAGCAGCACGAAAAGGAGGAACGCGAATAATCTGCAAATAGCCGCTGCAGCACCAACAGCAGCAGCAGCGGCAGCAGCAGCAGCAGCAGACTTCGAATTCCTTGTAGAGGAGTTTGAGCATTTGGGGGTTTTCTTTGACAACTTTGTAAATCAAGTCTTCTGTAAAAGGACAAACTTTTAGTCGAGTCCGCAGCTCGTAAACTTCCTGCATCGTCAGGCTCTTTCCTGCAGCAGCAGCAGCAGCAGCAGCAGCAGCGAATGGATGGCGGGCTAGGCACGACGGCGAGCCAGATAGCTGGCTGGAGAGGCACAACAGCTAGCTAGCTAGCTTGCGCGAAAGAACAGCTAGCTAGCTGGCTAGCTAGCTATCTAGCTAGCTATACACTACAATGGCTAGCTAGCTAGCTAGCTAGCTACTGAGGCTCTCATGACATAGCTAGCCAGTGACATGGCTAAGTAGCTAGCCAGCTAGCGAGCCAGCTAGCTAGCTAGCTAGCTAGCTAGCTAGCTAGCTAGCTACTGAGGCAGCTAACTAGTGAGGGTGCCCGAGGGCCCCCACAGGGCACAGAGGCCCCCCAGGGGCCCCCTGTACCCTCCAGGAGACCCCCTGGGGCCCCCTGGGGCCTCCCAGGGGCCCCCAAGGGCCCCCCTGGAGGGTACAGGTACCCCTGGGGCCCCCCAGACCCCCCGGGGCCCCCCCGGGCCCCCCGGGGCCCCCGTGGGCCCCTGGGGGCCCCCAAAAAAAGTGGAAATTAAATTCCGGACCTCCGAATTGTTTGACAAGTTTTTCGATTCTGGGGAAGCTGCTGCCGACGGTGGCGGAGAAGTGGAGAGCGAATTGGCAGGCGCAAAGGGCGTAGGCGGTTTCCTGGACAGTGAGGAGTCTTTCCTGAAGATAGAAATAAAATGAAAAAAGAAATTAATTAATTTGATTAAATTAATTCATTTTATTTCACTTGTTTGCTCAGGCCGGTGGCTTAGCTGCAAAGAGCTCGGCCTCAGGGGCCTTGCAGCGGCGGTGGCCCTCGGGGGAGCAAGGGGCCCACTAAACCCTAAACCCTAAACCCTAAACCCTAAACCCTAAACCCTAAACCCTGAGGGCTGCACTGCTTACTCGGGCCAAGTTGGTGAACTTCGTTTTCGGCATTGTAAACAGAATGCGCAGGTCCGTCAGCAGGTGGTCGATTCTGAACAAAAACAAACAAACCCTAAACCCTAAACCCTAAACCCTAAACCCTAAAGTCTCAGGCTCGATTACTGAAGAACTCCAGATGGCTGCTGGTGTGAACACCTCATTTCTAGGGTTCAGGGTTTATGAGGCTTTACTAAGGTTTACGAGGCTTTATGAGGGCCCTACAGGCTTCACGACGGTTTAGGGTTTACGAAAGGCTTTACGAGGGTTTAGGGTTTACGAGGGTTTGGGGTTTAGGGCTACTGCGGGTTTAGGCTGGCGCCTTGCATGTGACATGATAAGGCCTAGGGTTTAGGGTTTACTAGGGTTTGTAAATGGACGCAGTATAACTCAAACCCTAAACCCTACAGACCAAACCCTAAACCCTAAACCCTAAAAACCGTGAAACCAGTGTCAAACTAAGCCAGCACCCCTACGGCCCAGGGTTTAGGGTTTAGGGTTTAGGGTTTGCCTTTGTTCTTGGCTCAGTTGAGGGTTTGGGAGTTCATCTTCAGGAAGGGTTTCAATAAAACTTGTTATAATTGCTGCTCCATTCGCCAAAGGCTCCACATACTTCCTGCTGCTGTAGAAACCCCACATCGTCACGCAGTCCTGCGCGCAAAACGAGGGTTTAGGGTTTAGGGTTTAGGGTTTGGGGGCTAGGGTTTAGGGTTTGGGGTTTGGAGGTAGGGAGAGGGAGAAGAAGAGTACGAAGGAGATTGGGAAGTGAAGGGGGGGTTGGCTTGGAAATAGGCAAACCCTCAAAACCCTAATTTAGGGTTTCGATCAGAGAAACAAATTAAAAGACAAATGAGTGCAAATCAACCAAAAGCAATAAAAGGAAATAAAAACAAACTAAAAAATAAACAAATAAGGAATGTATTCACAGAGGAAAAAGTTCAAAAAAGAAATAAAAATAAAAATAAAAATAAAAATAATAAAATTAAAAAAGAACTAAATTGAAGACGAATGAACGAAAAGGAGAAACCAAGTAAAAGTAAATAAAAGAATTAAAAATAAATAAATTAAACGCAAAATTAGAACCACACTAAATAAAACCAAATAAATGAAATAAATACAATAAAACGTATAAACAAACAAACAGACAAACAAATAAATAAATAAATAGATTAATAAATAAACTAAATAAAACAAATTAAATTAAATTAAATTAAATTAAATTGACTTAAATTAAATTATATTAAATGAAGGACTTACTCCCAACTGCGAGAAGAAATCCTCCGTGTGGGGCCCACGGCGAAATGCCAAATCTGAAAATCAAATTAAATTAATTAAATAACAAAATAAATTACACTTAATTAATAAAATAAAACAAATTATTTGAATTAAATTAAATTAGTTAAATAAATTAAATTAAATTGAACTAATTAAACTGAGTTTAATGAATTAAATGATTCAATTAAATTAAAAGAATTGAACTGGAACAAGATAGTTGCACACTATGATCGAAGTAAATGAAATTAAAAATAAATAAATGAATAATTGAATTGATTTCTCTTCAATTAATATTATTAAAATGAAGAACAAATAAATAAATAAATGAACAAATGAATAACGCTACTTGGAAATGTAATAAAAGAAAGAACAAGTGAAAGCAAAAATGAAAAATGAAAAATGAATTTAAAAAAATAAATTCGAGGAAGAGAAAATGACAGATTTGAAAGAGAAATAAAAAAGATTCCAAAAGAAATAAATAAAACAGATTTAAAAGAAGAAACAAAAAACAGATATAAAAAGAAATGGGTAAAATGACCAAAAGGAAATAAATAAAAAGACTGTTTGAAAATACCAATTCTGTGCCCTGTGCCTCGAGGGACCTGAACAAGAAAAAAAGAAAGTAAAAGTGAATTTAATTTAACTTAATTTAATTCAAATTAAATTAAATAAAAATTGAATTACATTAAATTAACTGCTGCTATAAAAGGAAAACAAAAAGGATTTAAAAAAATAGATATAAGAAAAGGAAATAAAATAAGAAATAAAGGAATTAAAATTAAATTAAATTAAATTAAATTAAATTAAATTGAAATTAAAAATAAGAACTGACAACGTTGACGAAGAGGGCGAGGCCAGTGGAGTCGTCAACAACCTGAACACAAAATCAAGTTCATTAAAAATAATTAAATTACTTAATTAATTAATTAATTAACTAATTAATTCGTCCGTTTACAAAATTAAATAAACTAAGTGTAATTAAAATTTTAATTAACTAACTGAAAACAAATTAGTTAATAGGGCTAAGTAATGATTTTAACTAATTATATGATAAATTTAATTGACTAAGTTAATTAGTAGATTAATTAAATCGATTAATTAAATTCGAAAATTAAAGTGAATGGAATTAAATTAAATAACACTGAATTAATCAATTAACCAATTAAATTAACAAATCGATTAGATTAGTTGATTAGTAAATTAGTTTGGCAAATTAATTAATTCAGAGTAAAACATTAACTGAATAGTCAATTAATTTAATCGGAAGTTAATTTTTAAAATAACTTGTTGCGCTGACTCTGTCGCTTTTTTGCCTTCATAAAAGTCATCAAACACCATTAAATAGCTAGTTAATCAATTAATTAAACTATTTATTGTATTTCATTTTATTTTATTTTGTTGTTTATTTGAAACGAATTAAATAAATGATAAAATTAGATCAAATTATTTGAGAATTAAGTTTTTCAAAGACACTGACGGTGACAGTATTTTCTTTGCCTTCCCAAAGACAATTATACACCATCAAATGGCAATTTAAACAAACAATTAATCAATTAAACATAATCATTTATTTACTAAATTAATTAAATTAAAATAAATAATTAAAATAAATAATTCAAATAAATAATTCAAATAAATAATTAAAAGAAATAATTAAAATAAATTAAATTAATTAAAATAAATAATTAAATTAAAATAAATTAAATTAATTAAAATAAACAATTAAATTAAAATAAATTAAATTAATTAAAATAAATTAAATTAATTAAAATAAATAATTAAATTAAAATAAATTAAATTAATTAAAATAAATTAAATTAATTAAATTAAATTAAATTAAATTAATTAAATTAAATTACTTGGGAATTAAGCTTTTCAAAGATGCTTGCGGTGACAGTATTTTTTTTGCTTGCGTAAAAGTCGGTGTCCAACAAAAGCGACAAGTCTTTTTCTTTTGGAGACAACTGGACGTAAAACAAAACAAAATGAAAAAGAAACAAATAATAAATAAAGGGAACTCTTTTGAAGATAAACGAAAAGAACAAAAGCACGTGTCACAGGCAAAAGAACCAGTAAAGAAGCCAAACCACAAGCGAGCAAACAAACAACTAAAGAGAAGAACAAATCGAAGCAAACAAACAACAACTAAAGAAAAGAACAAATCGAAGCAAACAAACAAGGAACGAAACCGAAGAAGCAACAACAGGTGAGTGAAGAACAAACACAAAGCAAACAGCGAACAAGGCTCAAAACGAGGAAATCCAAGAAGCAAACAGCCAAGGAAACAAAGAAAAGAAGAACCAAGCAAAGAAAGAAAGAAGAGCAACAAGAACAACAGGAAAAGAAAGCAAGAAAGAAGAAAGAAGAAAGAAGTGCGGCACCTGCTCGGGCCTCTTGGGGAACTTGGCGACCTGGAAGAAGTAAGTGCGGAGCCTCTCGGCGCCGCCGTCCATGCCGAAGACGCTGCCGGTGCTGCGGTAGCACTGCATGCGCATCTGCTGCTTCCGCCTCCGCTGCTGCTGCCGCTGCTGCTGCTGCTGCCGCTGCTGCTGCTGCGGCGGCGCCCGCAAACCCCACCCCATGTCCAGAAACTGCAGCTCGAACGCACGCTCCACCAGGTAGTTCCGCGGCGCGCCGCTCGCAGTCAGCGACGCCTTCGCCAACGCAAAGACGTCGCCCGAACGCTCGTCGCGCTGGCGAATCTCCGGGAAGTAGTCGTCGCCAGAGACGGAGTGGAGGGCCCTGGCGGCGATGACGGCGAGGAGGTTGTCGGCGATGGACTTGGGGCTGGCGGTTTTGAAGTAGAACTCGTTGAGTCCGAGGTGGTTGTAGTAGTCGAGGAGGTGTTCCTTCGCGACGGGCTCTGCGAACCAGCCCTTCTGCAGCAGCAGCTGCTGGACCTGCGCGAACTGCGCGCCGTACTTTTCGCTCATCCGCGCCGCCGGCGCTGCGGCTGCTGCTGCTGCTGCTGCTGCTGCTGCTGCTTCTGCGTCCGCCCCGAACCACGTGCTGTCTCCCAGCGACCCCACCACTCGCGCGCTGCTCAGCTCCAGCCCCGCCGCCCGCTGCGCCCCCGCCGGCTGCCCGTCGAACGTGCTGAACAGCGAGTTGCACCGCTGCTTCAGCGCCTCGCTGCTGCTGCTGCTGCTGCTGCTGCTGCTGCTGCTGCTGGGGGGGGGGGGCGCCGCCGCCGAGGCAGCCGCGGGCCCCGCCGCCGCCCCGCGCCGCTCGCCGCCGCCGCTGCTGCTGCCGCTGCCGCTGCGGCTGCTGCTGCTGCTGCTATCGTCGCCGCGCATCTTCGCGAAGCAAAGGCCCAGGGACACGCAGCGGCACACGCCGCGAACGCAGACGCCCGCGGGCGGAACGCGCACCGCAGCTGCAGCAAAAACCCCCAACCCGAGCTGTGTACATACACCCGGAGTCCGGCAACGCACGCGCCGCGCGGCGCTCCGCTGTCTATACAGCTGCTTCCCAAGCCAACCTGCACGCGCCAACTCCAAATTCGCTTCCGAACTTCAACTCCTGCGCAATCTGCTGGGAGCCGGCCCGAGAAGCAGCAGCAGCGCCGCCGCTGCTGCCGTGCTGCCGCTGCTGCTGCTGCACCAGCGGCAGCGCTCCTGGGGCCCTTCCTTCTTCGCCGCAGCGCAGCTCCTGCGAAGCCCTCAATGTCTTGCGTGAAGTGCTTTTCAGACCTCCAGCTCTCGCGGCGCTTTCGAAGCAGCTAGTCGCGAGCGTACAGCCAGCTTCCCCGGTGTACATACACCGCAACCCAGACACCTCTCGCCGCCGCCCCTTCAGCGACGAGCAAAGCGCCGCTCAAACTCCCCAAAGTTTTCCTTTCTGCATTTTGTTTCCTTTTCGGCGCATTTTATTCCTTTTAAAGTCTCCAGAGACGACAACAACGAGCCGCGCTCGCCCGCCCGCGCCGACGCGCTGGGGTGTATAGACAGCAGCATCGATACACCCGAACCCGCACTGTGCCTCCGCGCCACCAAACCCGCTAAAAAGAAACTTGCACTTTTATTATTTGTTTCCTATTCGTTTTCCGCCTTTTAACTCTCAATTAGCCCTTTCGGAAACCCCCAACAGCAGCAGCAGCACCACAGTCGCCAAGTGGGAAACTCGCAAACAAACTCAACAAAACGTTACATGAAATGAAACCCTCCAACCGCTTTCGAAAACCCTTTCTCTTTTCTTCTCCGCAAAACCCTAATTTCGATTTCCAGTTCTGCAAAATTCTAATTTGAAGTGCAATTAACACCACTTTTACTTTTCTCCAGGGTTGTCACCTAGGGTTTAGGGTTTGCAGCTCAGTGCTGTGCTGTCCGCTAGGGTTTACGGTTTGGGGTCTCAGTGCTGTCAACCAGGGTTTGGGGTTTAGATCTCAGTGCTGTCAACTAGGGTTTAGGGGTCCGTGTTTTCTACTAGGGTTTAGAGCTCGGTGCCGAAAACGAGGACTTACGGTTTAGGGCTAGGTGCTAGGATTTAGGCACTAGAGCTTGGTGCTCTCAACTAGGGTTTAGGGTTTAAAGCTCGCTGCTGTCAACTAGGGTTTAGGGTTTACAAGCTCAGGGGCACAGGGTGGCCAAAGACTTCGCCAAGCACCCTTCCCCGACAGCCCCAAAAGTCGCTAGGGTTTAGGGTTTAGGGTTTAGGGTTTAGGGTGCCGGTGTCTTGTCTGTCTCCCCTGTCTTCTTTTCGTTTTTGAAGCCACTAGGGCGAATCAAATGAAATCATTGGGATTGGATTTAACTGGATTTATTTTTAATTCGTTTAAGTGCATTTTCCACTTTAGAAAAAACAAAATGTCCTGTGCTTTTGCTCACGGGCTGTACGTACACCCGAACCTGCCTATACACCTGAATTTGGCTTCTTTTTTCTCGTTTCTACCCGCAGAAGAAGGCGGGCGAAGATGCAGAATTAAATAGGTTTAATTTATCCCTAAAAATGCACAATTAATTAAGTTTAGTTAGTCTAAAAAGTGCAATTAAAAGGGGAAAATAGGCAACTTTTCTCCACTTTGGATTCCATTTGTGCTTTCTACAAATGCAAAATGAAAAGTTCATTCTTTTGGACTCCGTCCCGTTTGGAAAGCTGTCTAGACACCTCAGCAAACAAACGCAAGTGGGAATCCCCGCTGACAGTTTTTGGATAAGTTCATTTCGGAAAATCTGCTACAGAAGAAAGTACGAAATACAAGTTGAATGGGTACATAAATGCATTTTATTTACATTTATACAACACAGATTTGCATATTTTCGTTTTTTTGCGTAATATTATTCATTTATTTCACAATCAATATATATAATTGCATAAACTGCGCATGCAAGGTTCCCGGGGGTCCCGCGCGCCAGCTGTACATACACCCCAACTCAGTCCTCCCATTCAAGTTCTCTCGGCGCAGAATTTCTGTTTTCCGTTTCGGAGTTCATAATCTGCGCCAAGTGCAAATTAAAACAAAACAAATGAATTAATTTTTAAAATTAATTCATTTATTTGTATTATTTATTTGTATTATTGAAATAAATTAATTAAATAAATTCAATGAAAGAGTCCAGGATCAAACGCGTGCCTCGCTGATGCTCGGGTGTACGTACACCTCAGCCTCACCTGTAAAACCTTGAAGGACTTCGGGGGCGCGAAGTCCCAACAAAGCTGTGGAAGGTAGTAAAGACAAAAAGATGAAAAGAAAATTAAAAGAAAACAAAAATAAAGAGGCAACTTGCTTTCTGCAAAAGATAGCAGCAGCAGCAGCAGCAGCAGCTGTTGCAGGTGCGGCAGCGGATAAGAAAAAGCAGCACAAGCAGCAGCAGCAGAAGCAGCAGGGATTGGAGCAGCAGCAGAGGCAGAACAGCAAACCACACACAGCAGCGGCGGAACCAAAAGCAGCAGCAGCAAAAGACACGCAGCAGCAGCAGCAGCAACAGCAGCAGCAGCAGCAGCGGCAGCAGCAGCGTCTGACTGCAGCAAGGACAGCAAAGTCTGCTGCGTTCTCAACGAGGACGAAGATGTATTCTTCCCAAGAAAGCAGCTGCTCGTAAATGGGCCCCAAAAGAGAAACCTTGAAGAAAACTGAAAAAACCGGCTTCAGCAAAAAACCAAAAAATAGCCAACGAAAACGCCTGCAAAACGCATGCACAGAGGCCCCGGCTGTCTGTACACCGCGTGCCAAGTCCCCACTGCCACAACGCTCACTCCAGCTGTACGTACACCCCACACACTCCAACTGTACGTACATCCCACACACTCCAGCTGTGCGTACGCCCCACACACTCCAGCCGTACGTATACCCTACACACTCCAGGTGTATGTACACCCCACACACTCC